TTTGCCGACCAAAGATGACGTCATTTGGAAGATTGTGTCATTTTTCTGAGGGTTCGCTGTGGGAAGGTGGAGGGGGTGGGAGCATCTGTAAGCCGAGGTCCTGGGGGCCATCCTGCAGGAGGGGGAGCAGGCAGGGACAGGCCCTTCCTGCCAGGGCACGTCTCTCTCAGACCTGGAGCTCCTAGGTGCTGGGAGAGCCAGATTTTAAGCACCAGCTTGTGCCCACCCAGGAACCAGCTCTACGCACCAGGTTCTCGTGGTCACAGCGTGGCCCAGGAGCTGCCTTCTGCCTGGAAGGTGTCCCCAGGTGTCCGCCGTGCGTGCTGGTGGGCTCTGGGCTTTGCCAGCTTGGCAGCAGCCGGCCTGGGTCAGGTCCCTTGCCTCTCGGTCAGCGAGGTGCTAAAAGCTGTCCCAGAGTCTGCGGCTTTGTCCTTGGCGTCTGTCTGGGACCTGGCCTCGCCCGGGGGCTGGACCACCTGAGCAGAGCCAGCCAAAGTCGGGGCCACATCACTTTGCGGACCTGGTGCGTGTGCATCTGTTCCAGGCGTGTGTCAGGGATGCTGAAGGCAGTGCCAGTCAGCTCTCACTTGTTAAACCACCTCGCTTCTGCATCTGGAGCCCCAGATTTATGTCTTCAAATTCTTCTAAAATTAAAAACAAATGCCCTAAGTAGTTGGGGTTCTGTTTCACTCTAGAAGAAAGGGAAACTTACTGGTTAAAGTGGAACAGTTGTAACCCGGGCGGTTATCAGACTCACCCAGGAATGTTAAGAAACAGATTCTGGTTTATCTAGAGAGTCATTCAGCGGGTTGGTTAAAGAATCAGGAATCTGTTTTTTAAGAGAGACCTGAGGGTTCTAATAAAAGCAGCCCTCACATCTGGTCCTGCGTGACTGTCCCGGCGGTGGCTGCAGTTGATAGTTGTCCGGTTCCTGCTGACGGGGTCTGTCCAGTCATCAGATCTGCCGTGTGCGATGGCTCCGTGCGTGTCTAAGAAACCCGGTCCTTCTCCCCCCAGCGAACCTGTCAGGGCTGCCTCGTTTTTCTTCATAGCCCTGCTGTCCCAGCACTGCCCAGCTAAATCCCTAGACCGTCCCCTCAGTTTCCGTGGGGCCAGTTCCACCACTTGGTCCTCAGAGGCTGCAGATGTGATCAGCGAGCCCCCCTTGCCGTTGCTGATCCAGAAGCGGGTGCTGTCGCTTGGTCAGTTTCCCTCCCTCGCCTCAGGCCTGCGGCCTCCTCCAGGCCTGTGAGGACGAGTTCTGGCTGAGCAGTCCTTCCTAGGGCCCTAGAGGAGCCTGGAAGGGAGAAAGCTCCGAGCCGAACTGCAGAACCGACCGCCGGGAGGCCGGGGTCCTGTCCACCAGTTACCCTGCTGCCCGACACCGCAGGGGCTGGAGGTGTGGCAGGGAGTGAGCTCTGGAGCTGGCAGTTTGGTCCTTCGTAGCCAGGTTGCCAAGACAAGGGGGCTCCATGCCCGCTCTTCCCACCAGACGCACCAGGATGCTGCATCCCAAACACTGCATCTGCAGAGCTGCGGCCCCGGCTCCAGCTGGGCCTTTCCGCCAGC